TGAGTGCGTGCACAGACAAGAGGTGTTGCCTTCTTCACCAAGACAGTTCGGAGAAGGAGCAGGACAAGGTATAGAAAGGTGCTTTGCAGTGTAGGGAAGACCCTGTGGGTTAGATTGTGGGTTCAGACTTCTCCTAAGCACGGTGCATAAATTGATCAGAGAGGACCTGGGTTTTACAGATGCTAGGATCCCTTCCCTGCTTTCCACTTGTTCCTGCAGGATGATAATTTGCAACCAGCAGTGTCAACTGTGATACTTTTGCCTTCCACCTGTGCTGGCTTCACTGTACTAACCAAGGAGTGGAGTAACACTCCTCACCACCCCTCGCCCAGTGCTCTCACATGCTCTGCAGAGCTGGTTTTAGACTTTCCTTTGGTGTGGAGTATAAGGTTCTGCATTATCAGTTTACTGACAATGTGCATACTAGAAGAAAACACCCCTTTCAGTGTCTCTCGAATCCCATCCTCTCAGCTCCATGCCGTTGTCTGGCACTAGCTGTCATTTCCATAATTATTGGTTTCACATTAAGTAACCAAAAGTTATCTATCAAATGCACATGTGGAACAAATGGGGCTTATTTGAAAAAGCCCATCTTTGCATTTACAGCTGTCGCATCACCCAGCCCATTTTAATTAACTACTGCAGCATCAAAATCTGCTGCAGAGGAAATTCACACGCACGGTTACCTCCGCACTCCCGGCTCATCAGAACAGCAGATTGTACTAAAAAGCCCAGGCTTTCACTGATGCCCCAAGTGCAATGGAAACCAAGGGCACACTCCCTAGTATTGGGAGTTGGGCAAAGGGAGCAGAGGGTGGTTGTAGGTTGCCTTTGAATGATCCATAGTGGATTGTTTGAATTTTTGATCCCAGCCTATTTGTTTTGGGAATCACACTGAGAATCCCACAAGATCTGTCTTTCTCATGAGGTTTCTGGGACTCTCTCTGGGTTTGTTTGGGCTGCAAATAGCATGAGAATAACCTCGGCTAAGTCTGCTGCAGGCAGTAAAGCAGCACGTGGTTTATCGTTCTGAAAAAGTCTGAAAGCCTTTTTTGGACATCCTCGGGTCTAGTTCAGTTGGAGTTTTGGTTGCAAGAGGCAGCCCAGTATAAGGTGCTAGATGTGAAGCTAAGGCTAGGAACACCTGGCTTGCAAATGCAGTCCTTGGGCAAACTTAAGAGCCTGACCCAAAGCAGAACAAGAAAACGGAGGTCTTTTTTGGACTTTGGAGGGCTTTAGAGCCAGTCCTGAGTACCTCAACAGTCCCATGAATAAAATGTTTACTGCTTACCTACCTAATGAGAATGGTGTGTAGATACATTTTTAATGTTCATATTTCACTTTGAAAATACAAAGCCCAATGGCCAAAATACTCAAAAGGTATGTTAATTAGAAGTTCTCTGTTTTGTGGTCTGATTTCCAAAGTTTTATCTGGAACTTGGATGTCTTATGGAATTCAGTGGGATTTGTGAACTGAAAATACCTATGAAGATCCAAATCTTGAGATGGACAAGCAAACTTGGGCCAGAGGGGAAAAAAAAGGTTGCTCAGGTTTAGGGAATAATTTCACCTTATAGAAATGAAAAGTAGTCTGGTGCAAATCAAGCCATGGAAAGGTTGTCCAGACTCATTCGGCCCTCTGATTACTTTCCCATACTGTCCATCTAGGTGGGCAATAATGATACTGCCAGGTGTGATCTTGAGCAGATCAAAAGTGACTACATGGCTCTGGGAGCAAAGGTGAAAGGGATAGGGGCCCACATGGTCTTTCTTCAAGGGTAAAAGGCTTGGTTAGGAGTAGATACATCCTGGAGATCAACACAGTGCTGTGTAAATGGTGCCACCAGCAGGGCTTCTTCAACCATGGGATAGTATTCCAGGAAAATGGACTGGTAGGAAGACATGGCTTCTACCTGATGGAGAGAGGGAAGCATGTCTTCATGTACAGGCTTGCTAACCTAATGAGAAGGGCTTCAAACTAGGTTCAGTAGGGGATGGACACAGAAACTGAGAGCTAAGTAAAGGGACTGGGGACCTGAATAAAAACTTAGTAAGGGGAAGAAATAATGGAAGCCTTAGCAATATTCTCAGGGAGAGGATAGGCCGGTCAGTTAGATACCTGAAATGTTTATACGCTAATGCAAGATGTATGGGGAACAAAGAGGTAGAACTGGAGGTCCTGGTACAAGTACAGAATTATGATGTAGTTGGGATTACAGAGATGTGGTGGGATAGTTCACATGACTGGAGTATGGTCTTAGACAGGTATAGCTTGTTCAGGAAAGAAAGGGAGAGGAAAAAAGGAGGTGGTGTTGCCCTATATATAGAAGTGATGAATACGTGTTCAGAGGTTCAGGATGAAGTTGAAGGTAGGCCTGTTGAAAGCCTCTGTGTAAAGATCAGAGGAGAGAGTAGCAGGGAGGATGTCATGGTAGGTGTCTGCTAGCCACCAAACCAGGAGGAGGAGATGAATGAGGCCTTCTTTAAACAACTGGTGGAAGCTTTCAAATCACAGGAGTTGGTTCTCATGGGGGACTTTACTTATTGGAGCACCTGCTGGGAGGGAGACACTGTAGTGCACAAGCAGTCCAGCAGATTCCTGGAGGGTGCTGGGGATAACTTTTTGATACAGATGTTAGAAAGGCCAACAAGGGGTGAAGCTCTTCTGAACTCATTGCTCACAAACAGGGAGGAATTGTTTAAGAGTGTGAAGGTGGAAGATAACATGGATGACAGGGGGTGTATCTATACATGATGCTTTACTGTGCAGTAGAGCAAATTACTGCATAATAAGCATCACCATCTACACATGCAGACCCTTACTGTACAGTAATTTGCTCTACTCAGCAGTTGATTTGCTACCTGCAAGTGCAAGTAGCAAATTAACTGCCAAGTAATTACTGTGCAGTAAGGCACGTGTAGACGGCTGACCAGGAGCAAATTTACTCCTGGTCACCTGGGTAGTGGGGGGACGGGGGGGAGGGGGTGGGATTGCTCCCTGCCCATGGGAGCTGCCTGCTGCCAGGGCAGGCTCCAACACCGGAGTCTGCGTGGGGACAATGTCCCTCTGCCTGGCAGCAGGGAGCTCTCAGCCCTTGCTCTGCAGTTGTGGTGCTGGAGCAGGAATCTCCCTGCATGGGGAGGATTCCCTGCCCAGCCTGGAGCTGGGTGGGACCTGCCCCAGACTGGGACAGCTCCTCACCAGCCCCAGGTTGCACAAGGAAGTCTGCACATGCAGCCTGGACCTGGCTGGGGACTGTCCTCAGCCAGCTCCAAGCTGCATGTGCAGACTTCTCAGTGCAGCCCAAGGGTGGCCAGGAACTGTTCCAGTCAGGGGCAGGTCCCAGTCCCACAACTTTCCCAGCCCCATGTCCCAATCGGTAATCGAGTCATGGGACTTGGAAAGAACTGCAGGGGAGGGGCAGATCCCAGCCCTCCTGTCCCGATCTGCTGGTGGATCAGGGCATGGGGCTGGGACCTGCTCCTCCCATAGAGCTCTTTCCAAACCCCCTGTCCCTGATCGGGGAACTGGAGCTAGGAGATTCATGCTGCCGGTGCAGGAGCCCTGACATTGTCCCTGTCTGGGCTCCATCACTGGAGCCTATCCTGGTGGCAAGCAGCTTCCAGGGACAGGGAGCAATCTCCTGGCCCCATACTCCCTGCCAGCCCCTGAGCTAGCACCCAGAGGGAGCCTCCAGCTCCCCTTGGTTGCTGCAGGGACCCAATGCAGGGCCAGAGGGGGTGCTGCCAGGAGCAGCAAATCTGTTCCCAAATGAGTGCACATGTAGATGTCTCCCCAGGATGGGTTTACTCCCGAGTAAATTACTTGGGAGTAAACCTATCCAGCGGTATTTGCATGTAAAGACATCCCCGTGACCATGAAATGATAGATTTCAAGATCCTAAGGGGAGGAAGGAAGGAGGACAGCTGAGTAAGGGCGTTTGACTTCAGAAGAGCAAACTTTTATAGACTTATGGAACTGGTGGGCAGGATCCTGTGGGAAGCCAGTCGGAGGGAAAAAGGAGTCCAGGAGAGCTGACAGTACTTTAAGGAAGCCCCTTTAAGGGTGCAGGTATGAGTTTTCCCATTCAATAGAAGAGTAGGAAGTACAACAGGAGACCAGCCTAGCTAAACAGTGGTCCCTTCAATGAGTTGAACTCCAAAAGGAATCCTACAAAAAGTAGAAACTTGGTCATAGTACTAGGGAAGAGTATAAGATCTCGGAAGGAAATGGTATCCCTATCGTCTTTGAATTTTCAAGGTAGCGGACATTTTTTCAAATTGAGATGAAGAGCTCATTTCAGTGTCTTGCAGACATGGACTCTGAAAAGTGTTGAAATCTGATCAGTCGAAACATTTTGCTTGGCTAGTGTTGAAATGTTTAGTTTTATTTTCAACCTATTTTTTATTGTTAATTTTTATTCAGCATTTGATGGAGAATTCCTGACCAGGTCTTCTGACTGGACAGTCAAAGGACAACAGGTTTCTGTACCTACTAAACTTCCACAGGATTTTGTTATGCCCCAGAGGCTCATTGCTGCCTACCCAGCAGGGACCTCTTGGTTGTCCATTGTGAAACGAATCCAGGCACATAGACAGAAACAGCCTGCTCTATGCCAGCAAAGAGTAGCTCTCCCAGCACAGGGTAACATCTTGGGTTACAAATATAGTGGCCCCAAAGGGTGTACTGTTATATGCTCTTGCACAAAAAGCAAGATAGATTCTACCGTTTTCTTCACCACTCCCAAATGCTGCGCCCAAACGAACAGGTCCAAACACACGCCGCCTTTCATCTCTAGGCACGTGTATGGGACTTGGTGTAGGTACTTCATCTCTTAGCATCTGTCTCTTAGTGAGCAGTTGACATCGAAGGGAAAGGATTTATTTTATCAGCTCACTCCGATGTTCCCTTTCTAGCAAAAAAAACCCCCAAACTGCGAGTTCAAGTGAGGAAGTCAGCATCACCAAAAGATGTTTTTTTTCTTTCATATGTGCCTCAGGCTTCTCGCACAGACTGAGACTACAAAGTGCTCAAACTTCAGCCTTTTCTACAGGGTGCTGCTGTTCCCTCACCTCGGAGTGAGCATCTGCTGTCACAAAGAGGTAAGAACTAACTCCTGTGGTCAAGCCCAGGGAGATGGCTACATTTCATTCATGATTAATGCCATGGGTAAGAATCCCCAGGTCTTCCTGAGCTGGTCTCTAAGATAAATTTCCCTCATTTAAATCCCTCATGAAAACCCATTCTTTCCTGACCTTTACATCAAACTAGAAAAGTCACTGACTCATCTGTTTCATTCCTGGCATTTCTACACCACTGGTTCTCAATAAGGTGCCATAGATGTCTCCACCACTGGTTCTCAATAAGGTGTCATGGATGTCTCCACCACTGGTTCTCAATAAGGTGTCATGGATGTCTACACCACCGGTTCCCAATAAGGTGTCATGGATGTCTACACCACCGGTTCTCAATAAGGTGCCATAGATGTCTACACCACTGGTTTTCTATAAGGTGCCATGGAAGTCTAAACCACTGGTTCTCAATAAGGTGCCATGGCACCCAGAGGTCCTGCAGGATCCTTTCAAGAGTGCCACTCAATCTTGGCATTATGAGGTGTGCACATGATTCACAAGATAAACCCAGAGATTTCAAATAGGAATCCATGGTGTTTAAACCATTCTCAAACATGCCACGGCCTTCCTGAGCTCCTTGCAATAGAAGAATTGCTCTCGTATTTTTCTCCAGTCAAAAAATTAATGAAAGCTAAGAGCTGGCATTTTTCTGAGGGGTGCCTTGAATCTAAAGAGGGATGCCTTCTTTTGTTTAACGAGAAGGCCCTTGGGTCTAACAAGGTTGAGAACCACTGGTCTACGTTGTGTTCATGGTGCTCCCAGTGAGGGCCCCCTTGGAGCTCTCTGTTTCTGGCATGATTGAAAGCAGAGGTGAGGGGAGTCCCCTGAGTGGCATCGCTGCCTCATTTCCAGGTTTGGTGCATGTGAGTAGGAGCAAATGGGCAGGCTATGCTCAAGAGAGACATCCCCTGGGAGTGTCTGGGACATCATATAGATATACCCTTCTTTCTCATAGGCGTAACATTATCTCTACCTTGAACACCACTTAAATATTCATTAGAGCTTGTTGAATTTATTTTTTGTTGAACAGTTTTTTCCCCTACTAAAATGACTTTTTTCAGCTGAAACATTGTGATTTAATTATTCTGGGATATTTCCCACCCCCAACAACATTCTAAACCTGTAAAATTATTCAGGTTTGTTTTACATTGAAAAAAATTCAAAGACATTTTCCATGACTTTTTTGAAAAACAATTGCATTTCAGGTGAAAAACATTTTTTTTTACTACCTGTAAAATGTTCTGTGTATGTGCATAAAAATATACAATGCATATATTCTTTTTAAGATACAGAAGATCATCACTTATCTGAACCCCGTGGTAACAGCCCCAGTTCATATCTGTAAAATGTGCAGCTATACGAGACATCTATAATTGATGAAGGCACCAAAAAGAGAAACATAAAAGAAAATCACACACAGCAGTCCAGCAACTTGGTATCCATGCTTGCATTGACCATGTGTATTTGCATATGTGTACATACATATACATGTGAAGATATTCACTTTGTTTTTTTGCATTTCTTGCGACCAGATTGAGAGTTTAGATCATTTCAAAGTTCATTTAAATAAGCTTCAGATAACTGAGGGCCTATTATAATATACCCTTCCCTGCTGTGCATGCATGCGTGTGTGTGTGTGTGAGACATACTTCATATATGCATGCACATACATGAGCATGGATACAAAAAGAGAGTTATTAGCTTCTTCAGAATATATACACGTTATTTGTTACTGCTAAGAAACCTCTCCTCTGAGCCTGCACTGAAAATATATTGTCACTGCATGCTATTTCTCCTTCAAGAGTTGACTGTAAAACAAAAAGGGATGTCTGAACAATGCCTCTGGAGAAACAGGTCTGAAGGCACTTCTGCCTGACAGCAAAGATAAAGCATGTTGCAGCAGGTGCATGAGAAATCTGGAGGGAAGCATGAGTACAAATCTGTGCAAGGGAAAGAAGCTGTGTGCTTTGTGCCCAGAAGCGTGGGCAAGAGGCCAAAGAGTATAACTCCCTGCAGCGGTGAACTGTCTGTGGTACCCTATCAATAGGCATGAGGCAAGATGGATGAGAGGAGCTGAGCTTGGGTCTCTCTCTGGGGAGTTTGAGGAGTGAATTCTCAGCTGATGTAAATCTGCGGTGCTTCCTTGACTTCAGTGGAGCAACCCTGCTCTATGCTCATTCAGGACCTGGCTCCGAGTGCGTCTGCAGCATAATGGAAATAAAGTACATAATAAAATAGGTAGGCTGTTTCTTTTAGCAGAGATATGAAAATGGCTTCCTTGACCTTCTAGACTAAATGCTAGTGATAGAGGGCAGAGATGTGTAGACTTTCTATTTTGCAGAGGTCAGCAAAAACCTCAGAGCTGAGGCATGACTATAAGTAAATTGACTGGGCTTCAGTTATTATGCTGTGGAGCTGGCAGATTCCCTCTGGTAGGATGTATTCCTGACCACTTTGCAGTGACCTTGAACATCCTAGGGTTGTCACGTGGATGCAATGATGAGTCATTACCTACTGGTTTCATGCATGCAAGCTTCTTAAGAAAGATATAAAGGAGGAGGAAAGAAAGGATAAAAATTTTTCCTACCTGGATGAATTTTTTTTTTTTTTTAGATCTGAACTACAGGATGTGGGATTGATGCAGAACAATGGTGATAATCCCCTGAAAAGCAGGAAATCTCTGCCTGCGCAAAGTTTTTTCAAAGGTTTGGAGGTCTCCTACTCTCATTCCACTGGGTACTGTCTCATCAGCCCTGAACATATTTTGAGACAGCTGTGAAAGACTAGAAGCTCATGGGACATCCCCATCAGATATATGTATAGCAGCATCAGCACAGATGGAGCTGTACTGTGCATAGCCCCAAAGGGCTCTGAATCTAAAATGCTCATGACAAGACAGGAACCCAGGGGGAATTTCAAGCAAGGGGTGCATGAGAAGGAGGCAGGTGTAAACAGAGCGGGGTTGTAAGCATAGGGGGATGCATAGCAATGGGTCAGTGAGTTCCTGGAACAGTCTTTTTTAGCCTATACTCCTAGTAAATCTATTTACGATAGTACACAGTCTGTCTGTGTCTTCTGCCCTTGTCTGTAAGAGCACAATAAATGCCACACAGGGTCAGACCACAGTTACAATTAAATCAGGATCCTGTGTCTCATAGTGACAGAGAGTCTCTAGGTCAGAGGTGGGCAATTATGTGGGGCGGAGGGCCGCTTACTGAGTTTTGGCAAGCCATCAAGGGCTGTATGACAGGCAGCCAGAGGACAATCAATATTAATTTTCTAAATTTTTAGGGGCCCCACAGGCCAGATACAATGGCCTGGCGGGCCGCATTTGGCCCATGTGCCGCATTTTGCTCACCCCTGCTCTAGGTTTTTGGAGGGGCATCCTTCACAACAGTATCTGAGGACCCAAGCCAGTAGTAGACTTGCACATGTGCTTTGCTGCATTGTAACTCCTTGGAGGTTCCTCAAAACCCTTTCTTGCTCCACGTCTATGATTCAGCTGGCATTGGGGCCAACTGGGAAGGGCTGCGGATTCATGGTAGATCCACTTCTGGGGCCAGAATAGGCAACCTGGTGCTGATTTCGTCATGCAACTAATGATGGTTATTCTCATATTTGTCTAATACCAATACTATAGCTAATGATTTATGGATCAGTCTGAAGATTGACCACCTTTTCTTGAAGCACTAGTGCAGGGGGAAGCCCTAAAAACAAATGACAAGGATTCTGATGCTCTGTTGATCCCTCAGCTAACACCAGTGTCCTTCCTGTGCACACTGCAGAAGCAATGTTAAAATCCGTGGTGAACGTGGCACAGGGGACACCATGGTAGGAGTCTACTACAGACTTCCTAACCAGAAACAAGACCTAGACCAAGAATTTGCCAGGGAACTGGCTGAGGCTGCATGGTCTCGGTATATGGTTGTCATAGGAGACTCTAACTACCCAGACATCTCGTGGGAAGAGCACTTGGCCAAATCTGATCAGTCGCAAATGTGGATGAGCTCTGCCTGACTCAAGTAGTCTATGGGCCAACAAGAGGTAAAGCGTTGCTGGAGAAGCTTGAGAGAGTCCAGAGGAGAGCCACGCACGTGATCAGAGGACAGGAGAGCAGGCCTTATGAAGCAAGGCCGTGAGCTATGGGACTCTTCAGTCTGGAAAAGCGCAGGCTCAGGGGGGACCTGGTGGCTGCCTATGAGTACATCAGGGGTGTGCATCAGGACCTGGGAGAACGTCTGTTCACCAGAGCGCCCCAAGGGATGACAAGGTCCAATGGTCACAAACTTCTCCAAGACCATTTTAGGCTGGACATAAGGAAAAACTTCTTTACTGTCCGAGTCCCCAAGGCCTGGAATAGACTCCCTCCAGAAGTGGTGCAGGCACCTACTCTGGACTCATTCAAGAAATGTTTGGATGCTTATCTTGCTGGGATCCTTTGACCCTATCTGACTTCCTGCCCCTGGGGCAGGGGGCTGGACTTGATGATCTTCAAGGTCCCTTCCAGCTCTAACATCTATGAAATCTTTAAGGAGCAAGTGGTCAGGATGTGGAGCGAGTTATGTCTTCTTGGTGCACTGGAAGTAAGAAGGTGCCCAGAGCTGTGGGTGCTGAATTGAGGAAAACAAGGAGACCTGATATTGGGGAAGCTAATGAACCAGAGGCACAAGGTAACACATGGACGGTGGATTGAGTTCATGGTTATTACAGAAATCTGCTATTACAAGAAGTCCTCTTGCTTCATCCAAAGTTCAGGTCACCCTCAAGTCTGTTTCGTAATTCAGTTGCTTGTCTAGGAGCATGTGGGCTTGAACAGTTGCTTCTGTACATTCATTTTAATGGTCAGTGACCAGATTTAGAAATCTCAATCTTTTTTAACCTCAGACTGTTTTAATTGGAATAGGCTGAGAAAAATGTTATTGTCCAGCTGTCTGTGATAAGATAAAGCTGCCAATGTGCAACTTCGATGTGTCTTCAGACCCTATCATGCAGGTGCTGAATAGTACAGCTGGATAAGCCTCAAAAAGGTTTTGTGCAAGTTTCCCAGGGCTCCATACCTGGGTCTCTTCTCTTTTTCCTTTATCTCATCTGAAAACACCAATTCAGTGACCACTTCTTTGCAGACAATTCACAGATCTTCACTCTCCTCTAGAACCTGTCTCCTCCCGGCCAAAGTAAGATTTCAGCTGGTCTTTCTAACATCTCAGAGATGTCTAATAATCAGCTTGAGCTCAATCTGCCTCAAACAGAGCTCCTTATCTGTATCTCTCCCTCCGACCTCCTTTCTTTATTCCTGTGATGATACCACCATTGAACCCATTGATTCAGGCTACAATTTGAGCATTCGGCTTGATTCAGACCCCTTGCAATTCCTCAATTTCAGGCTTTGCATGCTCATTACTGAGCAGGGAGAAAGTCTGAATGACCTGATCTGCATTACAGAAATGGAGGGGGCCATATCTGCCTTGAAGAAGGGGCAGAGCTTCATCAGAGGTTATTTAGTACTGTGTTCACTGCAGAATCCAGTCAGACTTTGACTACAGGGCACCTAGCAGAGCCATTTAATAGCGGACTATTGGTCCTGTTGGGAAAGGGGAAGGCAAGACTATCTTGGGAACATGGAGGCCATGAATCTTGCTCGGCACAATTGCACCATCCTGTCCAAGATCTTGCTGAGAAGATGGGTTTGAGCAGTGCTTGGATTTATACCCAGCAGTCAATTGCAAGGGTTGAATTATGGGAGGTATTTGAGACTGGGACCTGCAGCAAGTGGAAATGCTATGTATACTCACGAAACCAATGAAGGACAGCCTATCTGACTGTGACTATTTATGGGCAATCCTATTGAAGTACGAGCTGCTGGAGAGGCTTATCTGGTGGTTGTAGATGCTAAAGCCTGGGAACAACAAGTGTCCTGCTAGTGAATGTGTGGCCTGACATGGAGCCAGCGATACTAAGGTTGGGAACAATGCACTGGAAGCCTGCTGTTATTTCTTTGGAGTAGATCCTTTGACTGGTTACTAGTTGAGGGGGAGGTTGTAACAGGGGGGGCGTATTTTTCAGGACCAGCAGCCAGAGTCCTACTTCCCATGAGTTATAACTTTTGCAGGTGATATATCCATAATTGTGTCTGTCATGAAAGTCAATGTTCGGAGTCTTATACGAGAGGCTGAGGGCTCTCCACTCAACTTGAATAGAAGCAAGGCGGTGTGGCTAGGGGGCTAGCCTTTTCAGGTATGTGAGGGATACAGAGCACTCAGGAGAAAGGAAAGCTAAGAATCCTAGGTTTGGAGCTCAGTCTGGAAATCAAGGGGAAGAACAGAAGTGGTCAAAGGATTGGAGAAAGGAACTAGATGAGAGAGAGCCGGTGGTAAAATGAGGGGAGGCTTGGCATATGCCCACTGTCTTT